TATATATATATATATGTATGTATATGTGTGTATATATGTATGTATATGTGTATAGATGTGTATATATGTGTATATATATGTGTGTATATATGTGTACAGTATATACAGTATATGTGTATATGTATTGTATATTAGTCTGAACATGTGTATCGGTTTCTTTAAAATGAATTGATCCACATTCTGAAATGAAGAATGTTCACAAACAGCTTTTGTTATTTTTATGACGTACTACGCCAGTACTTCATGAATACAGAATCTACTGTATCCTGTCAAACATATTGTGTTATGATTAGTCTCTGACTTTATGACTTTAATCATGTACTATACTGACTTCTTTGTGGTTACTTATGACACACTATTCGTCTTCAGACATCAGATCGTGTCGCGCTCATATGTTCCATAAAGTTCATGTGTTCAAACAGAAACCCTCGGAGGACATTTGTTTTTAATTCAGTGGTTTTATTATTAATGAACTGGTTTCGTCTGTAAAAGGACAAAAGAGGGGGGACGAGAAGAAAAACTGTTTCCACCGTCTTCAGTCTTGAAGTTTCCAACGTTTAACGTCTGCCGTCCAGCTTCACTGTGAAAACACTCTATTTACACTTTAAAATACAGAAACCTCTTCCTGCCTAAAGATGCTGTGGGTCAGAATGAGGATGCATTAGTTTCACGTCATGAGGCGGGAATGTTACGACTTGTTTGAAGATTATTATCATTTATTCACGTTTAATTATTTTAAAGGGGCGGGGTGTCGTCACACAGCAATGCTCATCTTCACTCCTGAGGCCGGATGTGAGGGTTCAGTTTGCAGAGGGGTGGAAGGACAGCTGCTGGGTGGGGTGAGCCTGGACCTGAAGAGCTGGAGGACGAAACACATGCAGACACGTTTAGAAGAAATCTACTCAACCACTTTCTGAACTTAAGAATATTATTCAGACATTTATAACGTACTGTACCAGCACTTTCAAGAAGACTGTTATACAACTTATGTTTTACAACATGGTATGCTACGAATTGTGATGAAAGAGTCACCGAATAAATAGCGCGTCGTAAGAAGTCACCGTGTAGCGCATCGTAAAAAGTCACCGTGTAGCGCGTCGTAAAAAGTCACCGTACAGCGTGTCATAAAAAGTTAACTTATAGCGTGTCACAGAAGTCACAGTATATTGTCTGTCGATGGCAGTATTGTCTTTAGTACTTGTATACAGTATATTGTCTTTAGTACTTGTATACACATGTGTTGACGCAGTAGTAGGGGACATACAGGACCAGAGGACCAGAGTATGTGTCCAGTGATGAGCTCTACCTTGTGGGTGTCCGATGTAGAAGTGTTGCGGGGCCCCCTGCTGGGGGCCGTGTTGGGGGTTGGAGCCCCCGCCCTGCTGAGGAGAGACGTAGTGCAGCATGACGGGCGGCAGGCCGTGACCCGCCGAGTGGTGCGGTCCTGATATGCCTCCTGTGACGTGAGCCTGCAGAGGATAAACAGCACGGCGTGTGAGAAGTCTCCGCATTCTTTACTGCAGTAAAAGTACTGTGAAAATACTCTACGACAAGTACAACTCTGCTTTCAAAGCCCTACAATGTGTTCCTATTACATCTGCTGTTTATGGATTATTAGTACTGATGCATGAACCTCTGAACACAAAGTCACATTTCTCTTCAGAATAAAAGTCCTGCTCCTCTATGAACAGAACCATGATGACTAGAAGTAGAACTAGAACACGTCTTTAGTGCAGAACAACAGTTATGATGACATCAGTCATCATAATGTGTTCAAGGACCGTCAGAAAGAGGAAAACTACAGACGATAACGACTAGCGATTGTTTAAGGAAAACGTGTTGTTGTGGTTCAGAGGCAGCTGAAGTGGCCTGATGCTCATTATTCACCTGTGTGAGCTGGCTGATGGAGGGGAAGCCGTGGGGCAGAGGCTGGTGGCCGGGGAGGCTGTACCCCTGCATGGCGTACGAGGCCTGGGGGGAGCTGTGGCCCGGCTGCAGGTTGGGAGGGGTCGGGGCCTGCAGACCTCCAGTGTGGAACATGGACTGAGGCTGAGGACCCGCCTGACTCGACTGAGAGGAGAGACAAAGATTAACAATGAAAGGCTCCACATCATGACATCTCATAAGAGCCCTCATGTGACTCACTGTTACCTGATTGTGTCCTGGACTGGGAGCGCTGTGCTGGGGGGGGGGCTGGTTCCCAGTCGGGGTGCTGGAGGGCTGAGGGTGATGGAGGGCGCCCGCATGGTGAGAGAACGACTGAGCTGAAAGAGGAACAAACGTTCATCAACACTGACTCACATGTGAAGGTTTAAACACATCGATCTCATGTTTCATTGACTCAACATCATCCCAAATGTTTCACACTGAAAGATCTGCAATTATAATCGTTTCACTTCTTCAGTAAATTGTTGAACTATATTTTATTCACGTCTTGCTAAACTAAACTATAATAAATAAATTCAACCATCTGATTCATTTAAATCCTGTTGTGCCTTTCATTAAAAAAAAGGAATAATAAAAAACTGAATCCTGCTTACCATACATAGCCTGTTGTGGCCCCTGGGGGCCCTCAGCCTGGCCGGGGTACTGGGGGCCCGGAGGACCCATCTGCTGAGGAGGGGCCCCCGAGGTCAACATCCTGGCTCCTCCCTGAAGCATCGAGTAGACCGGCTGGAAACAACAGCAGAGACGGAGGAGAGCTTTACTGACACAGATTTAATAAAACAGAAGTTAAGTTATAATGTAACAAACAGAAGTTATAATGTAACAAACAGAAGTTATAATGTAACAAACAGAAGTTATAATGTAACAAACAGAAGTTATAATGTAACAAACACAGAACAGAAGTCTGACTTCGTACTTTTAGAATATTTCATTGTCTGGAGGTTTAGTTTGATCTAAGAGGTAACGTCAGTATTTCTGTGTCTCATTGAAGCATCAATGCTGGTGCTGAAGCTGCTGCAGGCGGAGCTACTTTAACATCTCTACAGACGGTTCAGTCCGGTGGGTCTCAACATAGGTGGTCGGGTCCCTCCAGAGGGTCACCACATAGCTGTGAGGGGTCCTGACGTGATTGGACTGTAACAGCTGCTTCTTTTGTCAGGAGCCATGAGCCCAGATAGGCTGCTGTGAGCTTAAATACCTGTCCGTGGTAGTGGGGGGGCAGGGCCTGGATCACCTGGCCGTACTGCAGGTAGGACTGGGGGTACGGCGAGGCCACCAACGGGGGTCCTGCTGCCGAGGCTGCGGCTGAGATCATGGAGGAGGCCTGGGAGGCGTGGTGCTCCGGACGCTGTCCCACCACCGGGCCTGAAACAGAACCACACATCATGATCACCGTCCCACCGCCTGAGATTCATGGTGACGGTAAAGAATACCGATATGAACTGCAGTTCCCATAATGCTTTGGGGCTTTGTGCGCGTGTACCTTTGGCTCTGGGGTATTTGCCCTGGTTGACAGTCGACATGGTGTACTGATACATCTGAGGAGCCTGAGGAGGAGACAAGAGGTAGAGATGTGTTAACACACACACACACACACACACACACACACACACACAGTCTCACACACACACACACACACACACAGTCTCTCACACACACACACACACAGTCACACACACACACACACACACAG